ACACTCCGTCTCTCCACGAAGAAGTCTAAACTTCCTTTGTATCTGCGATATTTCTGGGGAGCCGCTTGTCTTCCACTAATATCAATAATCCATTTTAGGCTCGTTGCCTGATTAAAAACCACCAGTAATTTCATACCAGAGCAAACGCTGTTTGTTTACAGTGTTTAAATTGCTGCGACGGGGTCAACAGGCTGCCATCTAGGCTCCTCCATCTAACTGAGAAGGCCCTTTCCACTTCGGCCAAGGAATTCGTATCTTCATATCTTCAACTCAACACGGACCCTTCCAAATTACTCCACAGTCCGGAGGCAACTATCTGACCTCGATCCGGCAAGATGTCTGACGCGGGTATATCTACCGCCAAACTGGCCGTTCATGAAGATGCTGGCCACTCAGTCTCGAAAGAGGGTGGTTTGGAATTGCCCTTTATCAAAGATATTCTCCCAGATCTACCGGAGATTTCTTCTTTACCACCCCGAACGGAAACCATTGACAAGGAAGAGCAACAGGAGATGTTTCGTGAATTGCGAGACATCATTGAGAAGGCCCAGGAGGTCGACGAGGCTGGAAATAGCCTCGATCTCAAAGAGCTCCATGCATCTCTTGAAGAGGCCGATGCAAACACAAAATGTGGGCATCGGGACGCCGGCACACTACAAAGCGTGAGCGCTACTCTGAAAAAGCTCTGGGCTTGTAACTCCGAGTATTTGGTCCAAGCTACCGAGATTATTGCGAATGGCAGCAGAGATCGTGGGCCAATCCTATCTACATGATGGTTTTATGACTTGCTAATTATAATTCAGCTTCATGGCGTGCTCCATTCGGCCAGTCTGGTGTTCTGGAATTCTTCCTGGACGTGGTTGCTTTGAAAGGCGATGTTGATACTAGCTTGTTGCTTCACTCTTTGCGAGTTATTGGAAACTCCTGTGCCGATACAGGTATGCTGCAATTATTCACGTATGTGCCCAGATAACTAACGTTGATGCAGATGAGAATAGGGAGATTGTCGTCAAGGGAAACTACACCCTTGCTATCATTCGATACTTCCTCGATTCGGATTTAATTTTTGTTGCCATTCCGGTCATCTATAACATTTGCATGGATTACAGTATGTTCAGAAAGAACCGTCTGGTGATACATGTCTTGCTAATGTGATATCAGAACCAGCACATGCTCAGATAGCTGCCAATCGGGCAGCCTACATCTTATTGAAGCTGATCAAAGATGGCGAGATCGAAGACAACGAGGCTCTACTCAATTTCTCATACGACTTGATTGAGTTGGCCTCAGAGCAAGGTATGTTTTATCTCAACCTCAGTCTGTTTTCCGGCCTAACATGTAATTTACAGCCGAAGGTATTGAACAGTCCCCCGATGGAACCATTCTACTTTTGATGGAGCTTGCCATTGATGAGACTCTTGATTTTGCACATTTCTCATCATTGGCAACCTCTCTTGCTGCCTACCTAGAAAACGAAAGGTTCCAGAGTGTCTGCATTTCGAATGGTATGGTGGAAGGCGTGCTGGACGTCCTGCGCCATTCATTTTCGATTGTGGTGGACCCTTCTTTGAGCGAAGATGTCAAGGCTCTCGCACAGCTCCGCCTCAAGATTAACCAGGCTTTGGCTGAGGTGTCTGCCTCACCATTGTTCGCCCAATACTACCCCCTTGACTCTGCTCTTTCACAGACGTTGAAGTCATGGGTGGTTGCAACCGAAGATCAGCTTCAGATCTGCGCCTGTGTTATGCTTGGAAATCTCGCCCGGTCCGATGAGGTCTGCCAGGTGATGGTCCGGGACCTGAAAATCCACGAAGAATTGATATCCGTTCTCAAGGGAAATGCCCGTGGTGCGGTCCTGCACTCTTCGCTTGGTTTCCTGAAGAACCTTGCAATTGCCGGCGACAACAGAGCCATTCTTGGAGAAGCTGGTATCATTCCTGCCATTTCACGATTATGGGCATATGAGTCTGTTCCGCAGGTTCAATTCTCGGCTGCAAGTATTGCGCGCCAGGTGATTATCTCCTCACCGGATAACATTTCCCATCTTCTCGCTCCTCTCTCGCAAGATCTGGATTCCCCGGCTCACCAACGGACTTATCTCTCTCTGCTCCTGTCTCTTTTCGAGAAAACAGACTCCACGCCAATCAAGACTGAAATTGGACGGACGGTTGCTTCTATTTGTCGGACTGTTAGCCCCAAGGCTCGCGATGGAGATGAAGAAGCAAGGTCCATGCTTGATCGACTGTACACCCTGCACGAGGGTGTTTCATTGCCAGTAGGTGCGATGATCACACAAACTCAGTGGCCTGTCGTTCGCAGTGAAGGTTGGTTTGCTCTAGCTCTAATGGCCACAAGCAAACTCGGTTGTGCCGCTGTTGTGGACTGCTTGCACAAGACAGAGGTTACCGACTTGCTCAAGACGACCCTAGGCGGGGGCGCTCCCAAGCAAGATAAGGCTGAAGAGACAGACAAGTCGCAAGAGATCAAAGACCGTGACAATGCTTTCGTGCTTGTGCAAGGACTACTGACGAACGAGGTGAGTTCTTTGCCCTAGAATAATGCTAGTTATATGCTGACCGGAAAATAGTCTGGTGCACTTCCCGTGGGTTATAGAGGTATGCTGGAAGACTTGGTGAAAGCAAATGCCTCACAGTTGAAGGCTGTGACAGATGCTTAATTGAAGAGCTCCAACATGGTATGATGCAGTTAGGCATTAAGTGTTATTATGGTTGTTTTTATGATGTGGTTTGGCTTAGAATGTCGAACCAGTATTGTCTAGAAACGGATTCGTAATAGCGCCATGGAATACCTCTCTGGTATGACCAAAACAGAGGAAAATTTCTTGCTGTCTGCATCACTCAAGACATGATAATCTGAATGCATAGTTCGAGCACCCGAGCAAAAAGAATCTACTTTTTTTATAAGAACCTAGTTGTAGACGTGCGAAAATTGAACAAATCATGGGTATATACGTATATGTACTTGTAAGTTCCTCCATCAATTAACACAATCTGTTGCCCAGGGATTTCGAGATCACTCGGTCTGCAGACACACCTTCTCCTGCGCATATGCTCGGTAACGAGTTATGAGATCCGTAGCGTCCAGACCGGCCGCACCTTGACGAGCAGAATAATGCGAAACAAGCCCCTTGCCATCTATAATGACATGCGGACGAGAGCCATCTGACATATGCCAATTGTGCGAGGATCCCTTTTGGTTGTTGCGGAAAATACGGTGCACATCAACAGCATCGTTACCCCAGAAGCACCCAAAATTCTCGCTGGTGGGTTCTGTTGGATCGACCCACAACGGGAATTTGTAGCGGCCCAAATCATTGTGTTCTAGGTGATGCAAGAAGGAGTAATGTTGTTGCGCACCAACAGTCCAGTCATGCAGGGTAGGACCAGTGTCGGTGTATACGGATCTCGCGATAGGATCTCGATCAGAGCCCGCATCTCTGGGAAGTAGCCATCGGTGCCCTTCAAATGGCGGATCGAAGTCTTTGCCTACTTTGAAGTTCAGCGGGCCCTGCCAGCTTGGCAGACTCGAAGCACGCCAGTCATGCTCCAGTTGGGACTTTGATCGGGATGGTTGTTTCACGTCGTACAATTCTGGTAGATATGGAAGCGCAGTTCCCGGATGACTGTGAAGAGATGCGAGAGCTGCCTCGTTTATCACATTGGCCGTCACCATCAACGTGCTTGGATTGTCGAGTTTCGTCTTGACGATGGTCGAAATGGCGTTGTCCTCCAGAAACACGATATCGCCGTCGATTCGGATGTACATCACGTTATCCTTTGCTACTTCCCATTCCATTTCATGACCACGGGAAGAAATAGCATACTCAGGTGTTTGATTCACGATAGAGTAGAGCCATTCCATGCTGGCGGCGTCATCGGTCTGCGGCACAAAGACGACCTGATCAAGGAATCCATTATTATGGACTAAGTTTTTCTTAAAAGATATTAGACTTAAATTCATATAGTAATGGCGAGATTGTACATACCTGCAAATAGCAGTCCAAGATTGCTGTACGCTCATGGTAATGGAAGGGAACTAGAGCGACTATCTTGAAGCCCTGCGGCTTAGAGTAATGACCCGTTCCTTGTGAGAATGCGAAGAATGGAGAGATCTCCTTGCGAAACAACAATGAAGAGATATCAAATGGTATAAGCCGTGGGTTGGAGTAGGCTAACACCATGAAAATGATGCAGGCATAGCCAATAACGCCCCACAGAAGGACAAAGGCCCAATCATGCCAGTGCGAGTGCTTTTTCTCATTGCTGGACTCGATATCGCGAAAGTTCTGGGTACGACCCATGATTAACAGTTCCCGCGCCATCTGGCAGTCGTTCGAGAAACTGAAGATAATGGAAAACCCGTTGTGAATCTCTGGGCATTATGGCCCAATTTAATGTTGAGCAAGACCATCTTTCCGGTCGTTTGAATGAAGCTTGAAGATCCGTTTTCGGGGCTTCGAAGTCCTAGCAGTCACTAACAGGAACCGCTATAAAACAAGATCGACCCCTTCGACTCTTTCTCCTTAACAATGAGCTAAGATCTGCCGTATACATTGCCGGATTGGGTAATGTTTCATTGCAAGCGGACAAAGGATGAGGAATGTGGTTGTGGAATGCAGGCGTTGATGACTTCGGAAGGTTAGAGCCTATCTAAAACCTTCATAGGTGAACAATGAATACCTGTTTTATGTTCATAATTAGCTAAGTTATGCATACAAAACAGTGCACAAGGTGTATCTATCCAAGGATGGATATGCCAGCCCTGCCCTGGTGCTTAACATGGTTTATGTAAGGTAGGGTTTGTCTTGTTTGCCTTGTTTGTTTGTCCCTTTTGGCAACCAGCTCATGTATGACGTCGCAGCACGTGTTTATCATCTAGGATCTTGACCGGGAGTTCTACTCCGAGGCTGCTTCTTACTTCGACTTCAGCTTTTATACTAGCTTCATTATTCTATGCTAATACCTGCATGATAACATGAGGGCGGCCGGTCTCTTCGGCCGTTTCTGTCTCAAGCGTGGACTTCCGCGTCTCCCCGACAACATTTCAGTCGCCCGCCATGGCCTCGGCAACTACTAAAAGGCACCCCGCGAAGGGCTCCCGTAATAGGTGGGATGCTCATGGCCACTCTGGCACCAGCTGCCTTTTTGAAACTTGCGAAAGAGCATGATGGCCATGACAAGACCGCGGAAATGCAGATGCTGGAGGCTTCGCGCGAAGAGGTCCGGAAGACGGTTTCACCCGACGCGCAAGGCCTTTCGAAGCTCTGCCAGACAATATGGGTCTATTTCTATTGTTATGTCTATGATCCTATCGCTACTGGGATTCGATTCGTTCACCTTGCCATCATATTCATTCCGGTCGTCGCCACGGTGCCCGCCATCTGGGTTGGTCGCAAAGTGCAGGGCCGGGGTGGTGCGCGGTCTGGCACATTGTGGTGGTATCGGTTCTTGGTGAAGGCAATGGAGCGGGCTGGTCCTGCGTTCATCAAGGTAAGATTGATTGGCGAAGAACTGTCCATTGAGACTGAACTGGCAAGCTGACTTCTGGAATAGCTTGGTCAATGGGCTGCTTCACGAACAGATATCTTCCCGCCGGAAATGTGCAACATAATGTCGTCACTTCACTCAAACGCTCCCGCTCACTCACTTCACCAGACGAAGCGTATCATCCGCAAAGCATTTAATGGACTGCCGTTCGAGGACATATTCGAAGAGTTCCAGGAGGAGCCACTGGGTGTTGGGGCGATCGCACAGGTCTACAAGGCGAAGCTGAAACCGAGCCTTGCTGCAACCCATGAGGAAGAGTTGGGCATCGAACCAAAACTACCAACGCTGGGCGAGAAGGTTAGGAAAAATGTCGATGTGCTGGTCAAGAGTTCACCACAGCGGGTGCCATCTTCGTATGTCGCGATCAAGGTGCAGCACCCCAGGGTTGAACAAATGATACATAGAGACTTGCGGATCATGTCATTTTTCGCTCACATGATCAACATTATCCCTACGATGCACTGGTTGTCTTTCCCTGATGAAGTACAACAATTTGGTGAAATGATGAAGCTACAGCTGGACCTTCGGATTGAAGCCGCCAACCTCGTCATATTCCGCCAAAAATTCAATTCTCGCACTACCGCTTGGTTCCCATACCCATACTTAGAATACACCACCCGTGAGGTGCTGGTTGAGGAATTTGCCCAGGGCATCCCGTTGGCCACCTTTTTGGATATTGGAGGGGGTTCGTATCAGCACGATATTGCCAATGAAGGCCTTGATGCATTCTTGCATATGCTGCTCATAGACAATTTTGTCCATGCCGATCTCCATCCAGGGAACATCATGGTTCGTTTTTACACGCCCAGCGAGCTGGACCTCTCCCTTGGCAAGCGTTCGCGTGCGTTCGATGCTCCGACACGGGCCGAAGTTGATGTGACAGAGGCAGTCCTCGAGCGGTTACGTCCGAATCTCAATGACACCGAGGATTGGAAGGCTGCTCTTTCCCAGCTCAATGACGAGGGGTATCGACCGCAGTTGATATTTATCGACACTGGTCTTGTCACTCAGCTAAATGACACCAACCGACAGAACTTCCTGGACCTCTTTCGAGCTATTGCTGAATTTGACGGATACCGGGCTGGTCAACTTATGGTCGAGCGATGCCGAACACCGGAAGAGGTTATTGATCCGGAGATATTTGCGCTGAAAATGCAGCATTTGGTTCTGAGTATCAAGTCCCGAACCTTCGCTCTGGGGAGTGTTAAGATTGGCGATATCCTCAGTGAGGTATTAACTATGGTCCGCGCGCACCACGTTCGGTTTGAAGGAGATTTTGTCAACGTCGTCATTTCATGTCTTTTGCTTGAAGGAATAGGACGTACCTTGAACCCCAATCTAGATCTGTTCAAGAGGTGAGTTTTCTCCACGAGGCTATCAATTTATTCTACCGAAAGCTGACTTTGTCTAGTGCCCTTCCTATTCTACGACAATTGGGATCTGGCAGTTCATTCCTGGAAACTGTGCGCTCGGGTGACTACTCAATGCTCTGGGTTTGGGTCGGCCTGGAGGCTCGTGGGATGCTGCAGGCCAGCATTGAGAGTGTCGAGTATTGCGTCAAATATGACCAACTGTCCCCTAATATATAACACCGAGCGCCGTTCTTTTGTCCCATACACGCCCAATTCTTCGCTGTTGATATAAAATCTCGGGTAGGATGCCCATTGAACGATATAAAGACAGACATAGTTGGTTTATTTTTTTGAGTATTTTAGAGGAATACACCTGTTTTTCTTTAAAAAAGATCTGCAAGCAAAACGTGAAACTTCTCATATTTGGGGGGGAGGAATCAAAATTAATGCAAATATATCATTATCATATGTCTATTTTCATAGACTAACGGGAAAAAAGACCGAGGTTGCGATATAAGACAAGAGGGAAGAAGACAAATATCATACAAGCACAAGCGAAGATAAGCAATGGAACGCCAGCGCCATGCCTTCGAAAAATTACAGTGGAGTGGAGAAGCAGACAGACTTGTTGCAGCTGCCAAGCACTCTTAGCGCGAGGCCTGTTCACGAACACTTGCGCCGCTAGCCCTCCACCAGACATCACCTCCCCACCTCATTAATCGCTCAACAGCAGCCGTCGGTGTATCTAACGCAGGGCGGATATCAAGGTGGAAGACAGGTAGTCCGTGGGGATCTGGATCGCCAGAGTAGTAATCGATCACGTATCGAACTTCCTTCGGGCCCGAAGGTGTCTGACGGATGACATACCAATCGTGACGGTCAAATGGAGGGCTTGTCCTGTTGGAACTGGAGTCAGCGTTTGCCTAGGTGTAAAAACCGGGAAGATAATTCTTACTCAAACTTGCTTGGGTACGCCCAGCTCAGTGCCTGGTATATCTGTGCTTTAGGTGACAACTCTTGCGGCCGACCCTGGAACCGGAGTAGACGAGGTTGGGAGGTCAAATCGAATTTGCCATTCTCGTCTGCATAGGTCAAGTCCATGCTGAGGTTTTCCTCGCCGCGGCGGCAGTGTTCCCATCCAGACTTAAGACCCTTGGCGAATACGCGCTCCCATCCCACAATTTCGTCCCAGGCACCTTCGTTTAGGAAGTTGTGCACTGCAACCATCGACTCAACCGCATCCTGGGGTGTGTCTGTGTGTCCTTTGCGCAGCATGGCGTTGTACATTTGTTGCGGAGACGGATACTCCCAGTTGCCTTCGCCGTCGCCTCTTGGAATTGAAGAGCCTTCACGCTCAACAGGAAGGTCAACGGTTTGATTAGCGGCTCGCTCTTGAGAGATCGACGAGAACATGTAGTTCAGAGGATTAAGCTTTGATAGGGTTGAGGGCTGCGGCGCGGTGTCGGTGGGTGGCTGGGGTGTTTGCGCCGGTGTTGTTTTTGGGGCCGAGTAGAATGGAGAATCTTTCGATTTCATGGGACAGCTGCTGGGGAGTTCAGCAGCAGGTGCTGGCGAGAGCGAGGGCTTCGAGCCGGATTCATGCATCGGACATCCCGGCTTTAGATAAGAGTCAGTCTAAAGATCAAAGCTGTACAGTATACGCAAAACGAACCGGAGGAGATGCGTTCGAGGACGCATGTGGAACTGAAACTGCGGAAGTCTGCGGGGTGTCTGCCCAGAACCAACCCATTTTGAAGTATGAAGCCAAAAAAAGTTTATGGTAAGAAAGATCCCAAGGCGAAAGCGAACGCGATAAAAGACCGGAGAGAGCGGACTTTTTTTTGATGACATAAAGCTGACACGTGATAGGCCGGACCTAAAGCGGTGAAATGTAAACAATTCCCACTTATCTTTTTATCTTTTCAATCGAACGTTCTTTCTTTTGACTTTCTTTTGATTTTTGGCCTATTATTACTATTCCTGCTTGTTTTGCCATGCGAAATATACAAGTGCCCATAATTAGGAGCTAGTTAAGTAAGGGAGAGAACACCCGTTCCAAGAAGAGATGAGAATTCCACTTCCTCCGACTCGGATATCACAAACCCAGTCATCGCTTCGTCCCAGATAGAGCGCCAATTCAAGCTGTCCAAAGCTGCAACAAAGAAAAATTCGGCCATAAGTTTCGAAATCTGCTCCCACGACTGCCATCCACATACCATGGCGACACGGGCCAGCCGCTCCACAAACCATTGTCTCTCGGGCTGCCCAAGGGCACCTTGGGCTCCAACGAATAACGCCCAAACATAAAGTCCAAAGTTTTGATTTGGCAATCCCACAAGAAGAGACAATTTGCAGCTATCCAAAGCTGTCTTGAGGTGTTTCGTAAGGGCTCGACCCAATCCAGATGATGAAGGCGAGACAATCAGAAAATGATTGAGGTAACAAATAGAAGCCACTCGGGTGACTGCTTCAATGGGATGAAGATTGGACTCCGGGTTGGTAGAACCTTCTGCATAGATATAGCTGAGAAGTTGGTGCTCTGCTTCGCAGTTGAGGATGCGGAAAAAGTCTTGGTCACCAGGTTTAATGGCTGTAGGATTCGTCTGATAAGTGATGCTAAAGAATACCATGTCACGAAGCACACTTATAATTTTCAATAAAGAGGGGCTGAGGAATGTATTGGCAGAAAATCCCGTGCCTAGTCTGTTGAGAGGAGACGAAGCCGGTGGTCTAATTCGTTGTTGGATCTCCGAAGGGATTGGCTGTGCATCCCAAGTTAATGGGAAAACTGGTTGGGTCATTAGGCCCGAGGCGGCTTTGATATCGGTTCTGTTTCATCAACAGTGAGCAGAACCTAGTATAGAGGTGGACCGAAAACATACGTGATGATGGCAGACAACATAGAGGAAGAACGGATACTCTCATCCGTTATTCCACCCCTCAGATCAACCATACTTTTAAGTCCTGTTAGGTGCGTATGCACCTCGCTAAACTCTCCGATAATCAGCTATGGGATGTTAGCAACACTGCAGCACTGCAACCCGACATTCACGGTCAGAATCCATACCGAACCAGTGAGAAGGTTGATTATGGTGTCGAACGCTTCATTACTGAGTCTGCGACTCGGATCCCGTACTTTTGCGCTCATTTCTTGAATGGACTTTGCTCTCATCATACAATAGTCAGGGTCGTCGGTGAGTACCGAATCCCAATTACCCGATCGCTGGCTCGCGAGAACGGCACGATGTGCAGCACACATGCTCATCAGCCCAAAGAAACTACCCGGATCCGAGAATGAGGATCGAACCATTAGTTCCATCTCTTGGTTCGAATCTTTGCTCGTGTTCGGAAAGGTCATCGGTACGAATATCGTTTTCCCTTCGCCCTGTAGTCAGCTATAGTTCTGGGGAGGCGCATGCAGTATGAGCACCTAAAATCGACCAGAACAATACGCAACGCTGAGTGAGTAATACTTACAGTAGTACACCAAGTGTGCAACCATCGACGGAAGCTCACTGGTACCGGGCAATGTAAAGAAAGGATCAAGAAACCATGATGTGGGTGGATTAGGATTTGAATGGAGAGGCAAAGGATAACCAGCACACCACCTAAGAGGACGCCCACGATAAATTGAGGTAAAACCGTCTCCAGAGTCTGTCTCCAGTATGGAAGACGAAGCCGAAGACTGAGGTGAAGCCCTCAACACCAGTCTTTGTTCATCTGATTCATCGACGGTCTTGGAAGTATCGGATTGCCCGCGATTCTGTCTGGATGTTCGTTTTAACCCAGCGAGTCTCTCACGTCGGCGTACATCGCGCATAACATGGGAGCGAATAGCCTTGCGTGCATTGACATCTTTAATCCTCTTGGAGGTCAAGTCATCGTCGTGATCGATGAATGTAAAGGAAGGCCGATCTAGCGGCGCAGGTTTGGCCTTGGGTTCTAGATGGGTACTTCAGTCCAAGCTCTTGACGATCGAGATTCTCTTTGGTGCAACTCTAACGCTGCTGACTGATGGGAGTCCATAGACAAATAGGAAACAAACAGCAATATCACTCAAAATTGATGTGGATATGGCCTCAAAAGAGGCAAAAGAGACACAAGAAAAAAGGCCAACAGGATTCGGGGTTCAGTTAAGTCCTCCCCCAATATCAAGTGTATCAAAACCAGGAAGCACTGACCTGAATGGGTATGCCGAGGCGAACCAAAGGTGAAAGGCTGCAGATGATCCATCCGAAGGCCAAGGCAAGTTCGGAATGCAAAGGAAGAGAGGCAAAACACAGAAGTCAAACCAATAAAGAAGTGGATAGCAGGTTATGCAGTTGGGTGAAGGCGGATTTAGAAGAGAAAAGGAGCGTAGTTACGTTGCCAATGTGGGGGAGCACAAGCCCGATTCAGCGCTAATCGTCTGGGATGATCCGGTGCTCAACGGTGTAACCTGTATTTGGAATAAATGTTCTTTCAAGTATTCAGTAACTTTGTACTTCACTGTCTTGGAGAAGGGGGGGAAAGCCCATGGCGCCCGAATAATGCTTGCGAACCCGCTAAGGACAGGATAACAGCAGCCAAAAATAGAAAAAGAAAAAAAGAAAAAACCTAGGTTAAAACATGAAGACAAAGGGTATTCTAACATAATAAAATAAAAAAAGAAAAGAAAAGAAAAAGAAAACCTAGTTCAATCTCATGCTCGCATATCACTCAATAGTCGTGAGATCAGTGCATAGCCAAAGAAGACAGCAACACAGATCCAGATTCGGTTTCGCCCGGCCCAGCCTTGACCAGCCTCTCTCGCAACGTGTCCACCATCCATGACAGATCCGATTCCAGGAGCACTACCGTTGGGTCGTCGACGTAAAGCACTTGTCTCTGGAGAACACTTGGTGGGCGCATTGGGATCAGGTAAAATCTGGCCGGTGGCGGAATCGATGCGATGCTCTTTCATCCAAGCCCAGTTTTCCTGGTCAAGTTCAGGCCATTCTGTCCGGAACTTCAAGCCTCCATCTCCCGCCTTGACATTGTTGATACCCTTGGAAGTTCGAGTGACGCCGGCAGTGGCACTGACGTGAGAACCTCCTCCAGTCGAGTTCCACCACCGAGATCGCGCGGCAAGCACTCTGCGCTCACTTTCTGAACCACTGACACTTCCCGTGGTCATTTCCTCACTGGTCATGAAAGAGAGAAGACCGATTAGAATGGTCGAGACTTCCCAGGCGGGGTTGAAGGATTTCGGGTGGAAGTCACTGATGCTTAGACAGAGTCGAGTGGAAGGCTGGAATCGGCCACTGGGTGTGTGCATGCGAATGGCGGGAGGAGCAAATGGGTACTCTGGAGGGAAGATCAATGTACCCCAGTACTGTCCATTTTCATAAGGAGTCCCCGGAGGTCCAGTGAGGATGTAATGCCATCTAGAGCAGGTTAGCTTCGGAGTTCTGCGGTAATACAGTAATGTGGGGGGGGGGATATGTATATCACTTACTCAAGGATGTTGGTCTCAGACGGATGGGTCACAATAAATGGCGTGGGATCCTTTTGGATATTTTGGTATTCACGGGTGAGCTATAGTATTGTTAGACATTATCCACGGATAACCGATTAGCCTGAGGTCTGGCCACTTACCCGTTTGAAAGCCGCTTTTGTGGCCATCTTTGATGATATGAGCGGAAGCAAGAGACTTCACAAAGCAAAACAAGACAAGCCAGTGTCTGATGAGTACCGGGAAAACGAATAACGAGAAAAAAAATGGACAGTGAAAGAAGTTGCGGAGTCAAAGGTGGATTGTCGCAATCAGGCGCTCATGTTCGACGGGTCACGTGCTGGTTCCATATCTTGCGGGTTCGGCACGCGCACCCCGATCTGTTCCCCGGAGGCCGAAAGTTCTGGCCATTGCAGCCGCAAAGATGTCTTCCTCTTTTGCTGAAGGAGACGAGAGTGTTAGTACATGTCTTAGGCAGCTCATGAACTGCCTGAATGTCCAGTTGGCGCTCTATTGACTATCCACTTCTAGGTCTTCGAACGTTTGCAACAGCGAGCAGACCCCAAGGTGTTGGAAGAGCAACAGCAGGCCGTTAATGAGCGCATGCAAGCTATTTACCAAAAGGCTCAGAACCGACTTGCTGAATTGGTACGGTCTTCAAATCCTAGAAGCCCGATAACAGGCAATTCGTGTTTGCTTGCGGAGTTCCCCGGCTGATTGCGAAGTCTATTAGATCGACGAAAACTCGACCTTGCCCTGCACCATCTCCTCTGTTCAGGTCACCAGCGCACCCCATACCCGACGAAGCTTTCTTGAACGCAACTTGAGCCCGCTTTTGAGCGCAAACAAGGGTCGGCCTTATACACTGTCTGAAGCTTTGCGGGAAGTGTCGGCTACCGCAGATAAACTTGGACGTTTCGGTATGAGAAGACGGAATAATGACAATAATAATAATAATGGGTGTCTACTAACATCATCTCAGATTTATTCCACCAGCCTATTTCGGTTTACTTGGATGAGTCGCAAGGCCAGAATGGCATGCGCAACATCGATGTCCATCTGGCAACGCGGGAGAAGTCCCGCGTGCTGATGAAGACCGGAACAGACTTGGGCAACGCTGAGGGTTCAGCTTACGGTAACCTTCTCTGGCGCAATGTCTTCGGTGGCGCCGAGACTTTGAACTTGAACGCTTCGCTCGGTACCCGGACACGGTCCGCTTACCAGGCTGCATTTGAGACTCCGATCTTGGGTGATCCCGATTTCCGCCTAGAAATTGGTGGTATTGCAAGCGCCACCCAGAAGTCCTGGGCGAGCCACGAGGAGGTTCTCAAAGGTGGCTGGAGCAGGCTCCGATGGATGTCCAAATCAGGTCACCGACACGAATTTGGATACAACGGTTTCTGGAGACAGGTCACTGGCCTTGCGGAGAACGCCTCCCTACCGTCCGCGCAGACGCAGGTGACAGCATGAAGAGCAGCATTTTCCATAGCTGGGTTAATGACCAGCGGGACAATGCCCTTCTGCCATCTCGCGGTTACTATGCCAAGGCCTTCAACGAGCTGGCCGGGTTTGGCCCGCTCAAGGGCGATGTCTCTTTTTGGAAGTCGGAAATTGAGACACAAGGTGCAGTCCCTATTCCCATCCCAGGAATTAAGGGTGACAGCGGCGTCAGCCTCACCACTGGATTCCGTGCCGGTCTTCTCTACCCACTTGGACTGGGGTCCAACCCCCGTCCTCAACTTTCCCGTGTCAATGACCGCTTCCAGCTCGGAGGACCTACTGATGTCCGTGGATTCCGTCTCTGCGGTCTTGGTCCCCGGGAAGGCGTTGATTCACTTGGCGGCGATGTGTACGCTGCCGGAAGCGCCAATCTGCTGTTTCCGCTTCCCCGACTTGGTGCTGAGAAACCCGTGCGGTTCCAGGCCTTCCTGAACGGTGGCCGCTTGCTTTCTCTGCAAACCTCACAGAAAGCCACTCCTACTACTAATGGCGAGGTGCAGAATGCCCTGATGTCAACTCTCTCTGAACTACAAAGCGGACTGCCCAGTGTCGCAGCTGGCTTCGGTATTGTGTATGCTCACCCTGTCGCTCGCTTCGAGCTTAACTTTTCCTTGCCTCTGGCATTGCGAAAGGGCGAAGAAGGCCGCAAAGGGCTCCAGCTGGGCATCGGTATCAATTTCCTGTAAACATGGCAAAGTAGATTTCTTGCGCATTCAACCATAACTTATACATTGCTTTACCAATTTCAATCAATTCAGGTTAATGTTGAACATTTCTATATAATAACATGTACATGCATCTGCCCTACATTTGAGTGGAGTTCGCTGGGCTCGGGCCCAGGCCGATTAGACGCTTAGTCATCCAACATTATTGAGGCCATTTGGAGCTTTGAAGCTCTATAGCAATCCACGCTTTAGCCAGTCGCTACTCCCCAAGAACCCCAAACACGTCCTATATCCGAACCGAGACCAGTGATCTTTCGCTCTTCACGCCCTCAGTTGCGGCAATGGCTCAATACTATCCACAACAGCCGGGCTACGCCCCTCAGGGCACCGCACCACAGAATCTCCAGTTCTTCCCCTCGTCCTACTCCTCGGTTTCCGGTCACACAACCCCCCTCGCAAGCATCCTACGGCGCTGGATATGGCGGGGCTCCCAATCCTTCCGCGCAGGCTTATCCTGCCGGAGGTGGGTATGGAGGCTTTGGGTCCCCGGCTGCTGGCGTCAGCGGGCGGATGGGCGAACAGGGCGGCTTGAGGACGGGTTGGTTGGCTGCATTTGGGACGGAGGGGTATGATGGTGAACCACCGTTGCTTGAAGAGTTGGGTGTCAACTTTGAACATATCCGGACCAAGGTTAGTGTGAATTGATTTTCTACTAGGCGCGTTCAGGAGACGTGGGGGTTGGGTCTTGCGGGTGGCTTGCTTTTACCCCGGGTTTTAAGTTAATTGTAGCTCTGGTCAACAGTGGATGCCCGATGTTGGATGCTAACGGTCTCAATTCTTTAGACTCTGACTGTTTTGAATCCCTTCGCCTCTATCGATAATCACCTTATGGACGATAGCGATCTCTACGGAGCTCTGCTATACATCGTCTTGTACGGCACTTTCCTCCTGCTCTCAGGCAAGGTGTTCTACGGCTATATCTACGGCGTGGCAGTTTTTGGTACTGTCGCTTTGCATTTGATCCTCAGCCTCATGTCTCCCGCTCTCGACACCGTCCCGACTCCGAACGCCGCCGACCCTACCAACTACAACCCCCACCACAAACCCTCCATGTCCGGTGCCTCGGCCGCCGGCCACTTCTCTGCTACTCTGACCTTCCCGCGCTCCGCTAGCGTGCTAGGCTACTGCTTCCTTCCTTTGGTGCTTACCAGTCTCATTGGTATCCTGATTCCCATGGATACCATGTTCGGCTATCTCTTGACTATTGCCGCTGTTGGCTGGTGCACATACAGTTCATCAGGGATGTTCTGCGCCGTGGCGCGTATGAGTGGGATGAGGGGTCTCGTGGCGTATCCGTTGGCTCTATTCTATGTTGTTTTTGGAATTATGGGTATCTTCTCTTCGCGTGGCACTGGCTCGCTAGCTGCGAAGACAGGTGCAGGTGCGGCTTGAAAAGGTTGGGCTTTGATTGATACACATTCTCTGTCTACGCATTTCATGGATGAGTCTTTACGCTAGTGGCTGCGACGTCTAGGGTCTTAGTTTTAGACCAGCCTTTGCATTTTAATCATGAATATTATGAAATTCCAGCAGTGTTTATACATCATTCATTATGTATTATTGAATTCGCCTGTCTTCTAAATTGTAAACTCCGCGGTCCTTCGCTTGATGCAAACAAGCCCATGTTCTCATCATCACATTTAAGTCTAAATCAACGCCTAGAAGGATCATGTACTCGTTGCGTCCTGAGTTGGTGCCCATTTAGACAGCCACTCTCTCGCCTTCTCCAAGTCGCCACCCGCGGCTTCGGCTGCTGCAATACACCATGGTAGATCATACACTTTGCTATTACCTTCAGTGCTCTCTGCTGCAATCAACTCCGCGATATTGCGACGGTGTTGACTTGTTTCATCAGCACAGAGATATAAAGGCGCCGTGTTGGACACATCCGGTTGCATATTAAGAGCTTCGACAAGTGGGCGTGTTAACTTCATGATTTCCACCACACTCATCGTGACTGGAGGACCAGAGTCAGATGCCATTTTCTGCTTTGCCGTTTTGCAATACTCATTCTGACACCAAGGCTTTCCACACCCGGTCATCATCTGGGACAGGTATCGGCGTTCAATGCGACGACGGAGTGCTTTTCCCTCTGGGTCGTGCGTGTCCACATACAGCGGTCCGAAACAGAAGCTGCACAGGCCAACAGACTCATTGCCGGTTTTGTTCAATGTCCTGCCGCAATTCCTGTTCATACAGATGCGCGGTGTCGGTCGAGAAAGGCGCTCCAGGTCATGGTGACGAAGATGGGTGTTCATGTCTCGTAATCGGATAATCTTATTACACAGATGGCATTCCGTGGTGCGTCCTCCGTCCACCAGCTCGTGTGGAGTGAGGCCGGAGAGCATCACCTCGGGGTCACGGAAGTCAGGGTCAGAGTCGCCTTTCTGTGGCACGAGCAGATGGCAGAATTGACAGAGAATCAACTTCCCAGGACAATCTGTAGTGCGATGTTGCGCAAGACTAGGAAGCCCTTCGAACTCTCCCGCACAGTCGGTGCATTTGTGTGTTTGGTGGAAGATAGCATCATGTTTTTCTTTGCTTGGTGCATCATTGCCATGGCCGGAGTCGTGTGGGCAGTGCCAGTGACATTGCCATTCTGGAGACCGCTTTTGGAAGACATTCTGACACTGCGGACATAATACATTATTGCGAAGACAGAAGTTCTCGTGCAGAACTAATGTCCGTTCAGGAACCCATTGCTGGCAGTTCTTGCACTGCACATCGCCAGGCTCGTGGGATTCTTCCGTCTCATTATGCCTGACTGACGGATCAAACGGATTCACTGTGATCCGCAGGTGGTATTGCGATGGTGACTGCTGCTGTGTATCAGATGATTCACTGCCCGCAGGATCGGCGTGAACTGCTATATAGAGGGCCTCGGCGTCTTCCAGAACCACATTTGTAGGCCGAAGATCGAATGTCTTGTGCGCCTGGCTTGAGAAATCCCCCCAAGGCATGCATATCCGATCTTGGTCGACTTCTTTGGCGAGTAGAAAAGGGACTGGCAAAAAGGCTCATTTCTGGGTTGTCGGTTGTGAGCTCAATCCGAATAGTATCTTGGGGGTTCCAATTTCGAAGTTCATAATCCACGTATTCCCCAGGCAATACTTGGGCAGTGACACTTTCTCCAATGCTGAGGATACCACCGATCGAACTGCCGCTAGCCGTACCCGGCGCGCGTGAAGCCTTTTCCAATCTCTTCTGTAGCGTTTCTCGGGCCTGTTCCTCCGACAATGCAACGATGTCAACTTCAAGGTCTGTATCCACCACGCAGATTCCTTCGCCTTCGGGAAACACTTTATCCACCAAGAACCTGAATGACTCGCTCCGCGTACCCGGCACTGTCAGAAGCTCGCCCGTCGTGAGGGTCGTAAAGTTGTCCCGTAAGTATCTTTCCAAAAGAGCCTTCCAGTCTTCAGGATCGTATCCGGCTTCCAGCGGACGGAGGCGAACATAGGTGCCCTTGGGTAGTTGCTTCGCATGCACTGTGACCGCAGGGCCAGCCCGTGGTGATGGTTCCCTTTCTACTTGGACCGCCGGGTCTTGTGGTTCGCCATTTTCGCCCAAGAACTCTTCATCCTTGATATCGAGTGAGTCTCTGAGCAACGTACTCAGCGCGACTTCATTCTCTTCGGCGGAGAACTCCCGAATGCCCGCATAGATGAATCGACCATTGAGAGGATTGACAATGCGGAAGATCAACGGGTGGGGTAGTTGCTGCTGACGTTGCTCGACCTCTTGACGGGCGCGTGATTCGGCGGCGAAGGTATGGTGGTTGAAGGGATCGAATGACGGAGTAAGTACACGAGGATTCCCGGAGGGGACAGCTTGAAGCGGAGCAGCAGCTAGCAGCTGTTCAAGCGCAGATTGTGGTAGAGTGATTTTGTCACCGGTTAGTCGAGGCGCCCGCCCTGGCGATGCGACGAGTAGCTGGGACGACCACACTAAAGTATCTTCAGCCATGATGGATATTGGTAGTGATTAGAGAGAGAATGCATTCTTTAGTATGAATATTCTAAGGCAGCGGGGACGGACAGCAATAGCGGCGAAGGCGACAAAACTCTATACTTCAAGTCCACCGCTTCTCTCTCCGCTTATTTGTATAGACGGGGGTGTGATGTAACAGATATTCTCTTGTCTCTCACTGTCTTTGGTTGCTTTTATGAATAATATAAAGAATATATTTTGGGTCTGGTCTATACCTACGTATTTATCTTCCACCTCTATAATGTATCTATCTACATGCCAAGGTTATATGTGAATCACAATACACCTAATATACAACATATATCTACAGTTCTGCCCGAGAAAAGCCAGGTTTTGCCAGATCTGCCGCTACGGCGGTCTGTACAGCCGATAAGAGATAAGAGTATCAATTCTGGAAGCCTCCACGCTGGACACTTCGCTTTAAAATCAAGTTAATGTACTACATATGCGATAATTCCAAGATTCGGCGTGATTACCAATACCAAAGGGTTGAATCAAACCCTGGAATTTAATAGAAATCGCCACGCATTCGCCCGCGAGCACTGGTATTACACCAGTCACACTGCCGGACAGGTTAGTATATGTCCTCATTCGATTATGGGGCCCTCGGTGGGTGAGAGCGACGTACCAGTGTCTTCGAGCATCCTTCATTGTGCTGAATGCAATAATCACCCTGGCAGCCTTGGCATGTGTGCTGGCATTCTAGCTTACAGGAAGCACACTATTATGGTCAGAAAGAACTATCATCATAAAGCCGGAGAGTTACTCACAGTAGGGCCACATTCCCAGCAGTCTTTGCTTACACCCCGTTCCAATCTCTACATGACAGGGATCAGCGACATGGACGGTTGGCAGGACAGATTCAATTTCAACATACCTCACGTTCCTGCAGTTCAGCGGCACTGGGATGGACTGCAGTCTGATGCGGGGACAGGCTTACTCGTACAGGCTGTGGGTTTGGTAGACAGTTACCACAGAACCATTTATTGCACCGATGGCACCAACAGTTGGTAAGGCAGTCTGTGCAGCGAGCAATAAGGACGGGATGCTCGCCTGGAATTAGCTCGGGCCGTTTCGCCGCTGCAACGCTAGATGAGTGCAATGGCGGGGGACTAAGCATCGGAAATTGAATATCTGGGGACTGGCTCCAAATAGCCGGACCTTCGGGGGAACTGTGGCATCCGTCACATCCACGGGGCCCGAGGGCTACGGTGGCCACGGCAGGTCCGAGCAACGGAACCTCAGCCGGGGTGCCCTCCGCGGTCGAACTGTATAGATCGGGATCGTGTCTCGGGCCACGACAAAGAGCAGCGTCAAAGGCAATGATGCCCTCACATTTCTTAAGCACCTGAGCCCAACCTTCCTCAAGGGTGTGCTTGAAAAGCTTCCCTGATGCGCTGTACCACTCGTTTTGCTGCCCTCCCGATGAGGATCCCGCGGAGGCGCCATCCTCCTGATCAGAATTGGATGGGGTTTGGCTGGGTGTCCGCGAACTTCCCACACGGGTTCCCCACCAGTCTCGGTATCGGGGTCGTGCCACTGCCCGAGGTCCCGTGTGCATGGGAGAGAAGTGGTAGATACCCTTCACTCTCGGAGTACCCGCAGGGCGTGAAGGCCGAACGGCATGCTGAATGACCTGCATCAGCTTGCGTTCGTTGAGATGGCGACATTCGCGAATAGACAGGATGTTGACGTTGAAACGATCCGTCGAAATGATTTCGGCCACCAGATCAGCCGGCACTGAGACCCCGTCCAAGATCAGAGTGCGCACGTCTTGCAATATACCTCTGCGTTCGAGACTTGTAAAAATGCGCTTCAATGGGGCGGAGTAGATCTCGTCCTCGGTCTGGGAGTCGTTCTCCGCTTGTGTTAGTGTAGGGACTTCTGCGCCCCGACAGCGGGAAAGATCAAGATGTCGGAATACATATGGCGTCTGAGTGATTACGGTGTGTAGGCGGCGTGAAGTTGAGCTCAACGTCATCAAGGAAGATACTGATAGATATGGTGCCATCTGGTCGAGGATCAAGCTATTGCTCAGAACATCCTCTAGTCCCGTCCGGTGAGGGGATTCCGGTGCTATAGATTGCATATTTGATACCACCCGTTCAGTGGGTAGTTCCCGCACGACGGGCTCCAGGCCGAGTTCCTTCAGCGTCAAGCGGCGAGACCCATAAAAATCGGGGGCGCGGCCGATTAGGTCCCGTCTGTAGGCAGTCATGGCGCCTACGGCGAGTTCATCACCGTGGTATCCAAAGGGCGAGGCATTGGGTTGGATATCCCGGAGGGCAGCACGGGCTTTGACCAGCTCACTTTCCAGGAGATTGATTGTCGATTGTAAGACGACAGACATGGCTTCGGTTCTCTTAGGGTCAATGGCAAAGACTATGGAAGACCAGAGGTCGGACATAGTCCGGTAGATTTATCCAGGGAAAGGCAAATTTAAAGTCAGTCAAGCTTGAAAGTATAGAAAAGGGGGAAGGGGAAGGGAATAGTTTAAATGAACAGGAGATTCGGATAAATACAATCATTGGCATTGTCTGATCATTCCTGAGTCAGATTTGGGAAAAGAAGGGGAAAAAAAAAGAAATAAAGAAATAGTCCGTACAACTAAGAGTATAGAATGGAGGTGTGGAGTTTGTGGAGAGAATCCCTAGTATGGAGTAGTAGATCAGGAAGATTCCATTTTTGGAATATTATAAATGTTATATACACATATTGTATATTGTAGGTACAACATATATTATAGTTATATACTATACTACATATGTACCTATATTGATATTCTAATTCGATTGAGTAACCTTGGAAAAGAGAGATAACCGGGCCTACCAAAAATGGACTGTCGGTCAACAACTTAGTTCACATGTCCCCGTGTACAATACATACATACAATATACATACATAAAATATATAATCTCTTTAAGAATTACAACTTATACAATATAGTGTTCTAAAATTATATGATTTCCAACTCTAAACCTCTGTCTTGGCCGTGCAAGGGATTTAAAAGTCCAAAATACGTAGAAGTGTTCAAAGTATGGAAAGTGGATCTGGTATCTCAAGGGGTCAAGTCCCTCCGTAGAGGACGTTGGGAAATGATCCGCTGGTCACGCGCAAGTCCGCGTCAGGCTAAACCGGCAAGGGGAGAAATGCGTGGTCCAATGGGTTTAATCTATATTAACCGATGTATGTTGTATACGGAGTACATACGGACTTTCCAACTGGACTCTTGATCTCAAACAAATATACATATGTACATTTATATGCTAATACATTCTCAACGTATGTAGATATACAATACTCCGTATACCTATACCTTATACTCATACAGAGTGCACTCTGGAAGACACTTTTTTTTTAACCTGCCAAGACAATAGTCAGATCCCTGAATTCCGCGCCAAGGCCAATTGAGACATCTCTGATCTACACGGTCCGCGGCATCATGCCAAGCCTTCACTCGAGGACTATGTACTCCGTACTCCGTACGGAGTAACCAACTTCGTTTTATGTGCCATTCGAGATAAGCTGAAGCTGCCAAGACCTGTGATGCAGATCCTCCTTTCTCTTCGCCAGTTGAGAAAAAGAGTCCAATCGAGTTCCGTAGATCTACTTTTAGGATCTCCTTGCACGTCAGATCACATATCCCAGTACGAGGTAGATGGCTGATACACTACTCCATACTCCGTACTCCGTACATGTATTTGGACGGAGAGTATGTATGCACAAAGGGCCAAGCAGGCAGTCGCCCCAAAGAGGTTGCCAAGAAATAGTTACACCTCTACACATCACCCGAAATAGGATCCTGACACGTCGCACAACCATGCATTTACTTGGGGTGAGAATTATCAGGGTAGGATTAGAACTAGTGATACAATGTCGTCGATCGTTCCCCAAGCCCCCGGGATCCACCCCCCGCTTCAGAGATGACTCTACTTCCACAGCTTCGACACGGCCACCTCCTTATCATCGTGCTTGTTGAGAATCTTGGCGGTGGCCAGGTCAAAGTCTTCTTGTGTGACATGAACCCGACGCTCGCGGAGTGCATACATTCCTGCCTCTGTACAGACACCCTTGAGCTCGGCTCCAGAGCACCCGTTCATCTTCTCGGCAATCTTGGTCAGGTTGATCCCACGGGTCAGATTCATCGACCGAGAGTGGATCCGCAAGATGTCGGCACGGGCTTCGACGCTACAAAAGGAAAGTAAAGTTAGCATCGTATTCAAGAAGGAAAGAAAGGTAACAAGCCATAAACAACAGGGGTGAAGTGGGTTGGACTGACGATGGAGGGGGAATTCGATCTTTCGGTCAATTCGCCCAGGCCGAAGTAGGGCGGGATCCAGAATATCCAGTCGGTTGGTCGCCATGATAATCTTAATGTTCTTCGTTGGCTCGAAGCCGTCCAACTGGTTCAACAACTCCAGCATGGTACGTTGCACCTCCGAGTCACCGCCTCCTGATGAATCTATCCGGCTTGATCCAATACTGTCAATCTCATCCATGAAGATGATACTTGGTGCATGCTCCCGTGCCATGACGAAAAGCTCACGCACCATCCGACTACCCTCACCGATGTATTTCTGGACCAGTTCTGAACCACTCACTCGGATGAATCGGCAGTCGGTATGGTGAGCGGCGGCTCGAGCAAGCAGGGTCTTGCCGGTTCCAGGTGGGCCGTAAAGCAAGACACCCTTCGGCTGTGCGATACCCAAAGATTCAAAGAGCTCGGGGTGCTTGAGGCCAAGCTCGATGACTTCCTTGATTTCCTTGATTTGCTGGTCTAGGCCACCAATCATGTCGTAAGTGCTGTCGGGGACCTTCTCGACCATCATGAGCGCAACCAGAGGATCGACCGAGGACGGCAACATCTTCTCCAACTTGTAAGAGTCAGACAGGAGAGCGACTCGCTTGCCCACAACGAGTTTGCCAATGTCCACACCATCAGAGATATCCACCACTGCGATCAAGGAAATCATAGTGTTAGTGTAAGCCCGGTCATCAAAAGCCAAGATGATTGGAATGGACAAAGCCTACCGTATTTTCCTTCCGGGTGTACCTTCACCAGGACCTTCTTGGTGCTCATCACCTTCACCACCTCGCCAACGTAGGAGCCAGGTTGTTGCAGCAAGCCAAGCTCTTCGCGTAGTAGACGGACTCTCGAGTTGTAGTCATTGCGCTGCGCTTCTAATCGTCGTAGAACGGCCTGGCCTTGAATAATCTCGAGCTTCATGCCCTCGATTTTATTGCGATAGTAGTTGTCCAGAGCCATGATGGCGAATGGGCTGATGACGCTATAGAGACTCAAGGGCTGTCTGTCTTGCAGCGAGCGCAGATGAAGTAAAGAAAAAGACCTTTATCTTTCTGCTCAGAGAATAGTATATCGAGAATTCGGTCAGGGGAAATGTAGCTCGGGGGTAGAAACGAAGAAGTTGAAGCTGGGGTTTGGCGAGCAGAGCAGTCCAGCTGTAGGTGAAGCTCAGGTCCGGTGCCCGTTCAGTTGTGCTGACTAAGAGAGACAATAATTATAGCCTGAAATATCAGGTTACTTGATTAAGGCAAACCAGTCAAACACCCGGCTTTGTTTCCATGGATGAGAGAGGAGAACTTCGGGAGCTCCCCACCCAATGAGTCAGCTGTGGATTTGATTGGGCGGTCAGGCCTTGGAGCTGCCCAGGTGGGCTGATGATCGGGTCATCTGCAACGAGAAGGCAACGGTCAAAGAGCCATTTCTCTCCTTAGGCATCCTTTTTTACCCACGAGTTACGTCCTACCTGGACCTGCAATGATTTATATGCATCTCAACTAATGAAACTTTCCTTGATATTCTTGATTCCTGCGTTTCACCTAGATCTATTGGGTCCGATAATGTCACTGGGAACTTCGGTCTCATCGCTTTGATCTTTTTCTCTCTCTTACTTTATTTTGGGACAACAAAGACAGCATAAAAGAGAGGGGAGTCCCTTGTCTTTGCGATTCTCTCTCTTCCTTTCCCCCACCCCCCAGCTTCTAAGGTTCACTGTGTACTTGTCAAATCACAAGCGTTATGGCTGGTGATAAAGGAGACCCTGACTCTCCGGAGTCGACGCAGCCATCTGCAGCGGCGGGAACCGAAACACCGACTTCTGGACCAGTGCCTCCAATTAGATCATCTGCCTCCACGCGGAGAACATACGGTAAGCTTGCCGTTGGTGTAACCCACGACAATGACGGCTTGGGCTGATCCAAAATTGCAGGTACACTCGATCCATCCTCCCTCGAGCCGACCAATCCCGAAGTTCGTGATGATGGCCAAGAGGAGAGTTCGGCTCGCGCGTTTACGACCCAGTCGTCCACAGTCCCTGATAAGCCCCGAAAGCCCTCGGTATCGCGTCGCATGTCTTCCAAACGTCACATTCCCCACAGGGGGCAAGGGTTCTCGACAGACGATGATGTCAATGAGGTCAAGCAATATATGACAATGAAGCAAAGTGCGAACGCGCAACAATCCCCCAGGATACGTCCACTACGGGCGCAAAGCTCGACCTTGAGACGACGTCCCAGTGTTCGTCCCAGACCCTCTCCAAGGGCCGATTCGGAGGGTTACAACGCGGACGACATAGGCTTGCCTGAACCAAGTGTGGATTATGAAGAAGACCTCCCTTTTACACAGGCCGAGAATAGCAGCGGAGGGGAGAGTGACGATGGCGAGGAGGAGGATGGCATAGAAGACGATGAAGACGCAACCAGCGATGCTGAGAGCTTCACACTCAAAGACCGTCAACAGGCCATCAACGAAACACATCCGTTTGGTATCAGGATCTGGAAGCCTGCGTTGTACAAGAAGAGCCGTTCTGTAGAGAAGACGGCTGAGGGTGATATCCACTCATCTCCTGGAGGCTATGTTAGTCCCATGCTTTTTTTGACCAATCTACTATGGTCTTTGTTCTTTGGATGGTGGCTTGCCCTTTTCGCTCTGTTGGCCGCAGTTGCATGCTTTTTCTTTTCCTACTCATCCAGTGCTGTGGCATACGGAAGAGTATTCGCAGGTCTTTCGCGGTATCTGTTGTACCCGTTCGGATCATATGTTCTTTTGGAGACTGATGAGAATTATGCCGAAGAGGATGAGGGCGAGGGACGCAGTATCAGTGAATATGAGCAATGGCAGAATGGCGACCTGGAACACGGTCGTCTTTTCTTCGGACCTCGCAGAGATCGGTCTCTGGTCGGTAGACGAAGAAACAGCGTCGATTCAGCCGGTGAGCAAGACAGCCTTCTCGGGAGGCCCCAGCGTGGACAGCGCGAAGACTCTTCTCAGCTCGCTCAATCCAAGCGTCGCCTGTTTGGGCGGGGCGAATGGACCTTGGGTCGTGTCGTGTTCTTCGTGTTCTTCTACTTCTTGGTCGGCCCATTGATGCTTATGGTATCGCTCAT